AATTTGGTTAATTTTCATGCTTGACGGCTAAATGTTTTCTGCCGGTTTTAAGACTAACGGTTCTCTGTTCTGCAAGAAGGGGTGAGAAAGTAAAACCCAATCTCCAGTAGGGCGGGCCCAGAAATATGGTCCCACATCTTTCCAAGAAACACAAATAGCAGTGTCTGAAGGTTTTGGCTGACTACGTTTTAACCCTGCAGTGTTTTGTGGCTGGTACGAAACACAAGCTACAGGCCGCCATCTTTATAAAAGGTGGAAGACGGGAATAAGAGTTTTAGAAAACGAATGTCGGAAGACAGTATGACATTTCAGTGATCAAATGAATTGTAAAGTCATTTTGTCGTGCTTTCTCTTCTAATTCATGACAAAAAAAAATCCTCAAACACGTAGCGATGATCTTCGCGAAACAACTCTTAGAATGCAGAACCGGTTTCTCGGAGGTTACCTGATTTTTTGTATTTTTGTGATTTTGTTACCAAATTTGCATAAGCTGTAACTCAAGTCCCCATTTCGTAATATTTATGAAAGTAATTTTCCATACGTGGAATTTAATTAGTCAAGTTTGTGACAATGAAAAAAATATTCGCGTCGCTTTCCTTGTTTTAATTATTTGCCGTAAAACGTCCAGAAATTAGAAATTAGAAATTTCTCTGTTGTTCAGCTCTGAAATTATATACTAAATCAATTATTCGCCTCAGGTTCGGTGAATATTGTCGAATAATCCTCTCGACTTCGTCTCGGGGACTATTCAACGATATTCACCTCGCCTTCGGCGAATGATTGTTAAGTATAAATAAACCCCCTGGAAAAAAATAGATTGGTAAATAGACATATAAATAAATAAAAATTAGTTTAATTATTCAGCATGGACATAGTCCTTACAATGTTCCCTCGACAGGCTTCTAACGAAACTTAAACTGTGATTTTCCCTTTAAGCAAAGAACATAAAATCAATACAATGTTGACACTGTTTTGCCATCAATAGCAAAACTCCACTTCATTTTGTTTGATCGCAATAATGGGCAGAACGAACACTTAGCCTAACTACACCAACCAGGTCTACTGACTGTAAACCTTGAGGTCTTCATTAAGAGCTTTTATTATCCAACTACACCTAGACGAGTACGAATAACGCCATAGAACAACAGTTTGGCGTGTTGGATAATAAATAACTTATTAGACGTTTTGTTGTGTAGTATCGCTGAGTATTTTTACTCGTTATTTGTATTTTGACTCGCCCTACGGGCTCGTCAAAATACGACACGACTCGTAAAAGTACTCAGCGATACCACACAACAAAACGTCTAATAAGATATATTTATTCTACTTTCTACACTTAAGTACTTTTCTTTCTAGGAAAATAGATAATCATGTTCAACCATAATTCAGACACTTGAAAATCAATCCTCTCAACAACTAAAGAGCAATCAATGAAACTTTTTTCATTCCCTTATTTCATTACTACTTGCTACAAAGTATTGCATGATTACAAAAGTACTATGATTTTAGTGGTATCTTTATTAGGAAGATACGATGGAGGTTCCTCACTATTGGGAATCCCACAGCCGCATTATTTGGCATTTATAATAAAAAATGCTACAAGCTAAAAGTAAGTTGCCTTTTCTCAGCGTCTAAAAGTGAGTTATTCTTTGATTTTTACAGTATTTTTAAATAGATAATTCATAAAACCACAATTTTCTTTCCTGTCAAGCTTCCACGAGGGAGACTGATGAGAGAGCAGCTTTTACAACTCGCAACTCCATATAAACGTTCCGTAAAGTTCTCTCGAGGGCTGAAGAGTTGTGTCGGATACCCAAGACCATACAAATAGGGACTAAGTTGTAATTTTTCAAGGTTTGCCTTCAGAAGAAAACACGAGGTCTAACGTACTGACAAAACATTCTTAAATCGGACAACGTTATGCAAAGTGAAGCTATTAAATGAATTGTGCGCTCTGATTAAATTTTCATTATTACCTTGATTCCTTTCAATCTTAAAAAAAGAGAGAGAGAAATAGAAGAGCTAACAATTCATTGAAGCGTCAGCTCTAAAACTCTTTATGATGGCCAATTAATATTATCACCGAACTAAGTTGATAAAAGCAAAATTACCTCGCAAATAGTCGGTCAGTGAGTCAGCAGATCGGTCAGATGTGTCAATTGTTCGTTAGAAATCAGTCACGTACCTTGAGCTACAGCCCTGAAGTAACACCGCCAAATCATCGCTGTCCCACACAGGACCGTAAACAAGAGCGCAGAGTTTTTCCAGTGGATCATTAAGTTGATGGCACCTTTGGAGAACCATTTAGATAGGTAACATGAAACAGTGTGGAAATAGGGAGCGAGAACGTAGATCCATTCTAAGCAACCGCGGGCAAACTTGCTCGATGCCTCAAAGATCGTAGAAATTAACCATTGGAGACTCTCCAAAATACTAGAAGTGTTTTCCCAGTATTTTTTAATGCTAGTCAGTGTCTCAATGATCATCGAGGTGAACATGCGGAGATTGTCCAAAATAATAACCACACTGTTCCAGGCTCTGATAAGAATGACTGAGAACAACTCAAGTAGGTAGCATGAAGCAGTGTGGCAATAAGAAGCGATCAAAGCAAGCAATTCGAAGCAAACGCGGGCAAAACTGTTCGATACCTCAAATATCTTAGAGATTAACCATCGGAGACTCTCCAAAATAATACAGCTATTCTCCCAGTATCTAATGCTAGTCAATGTTTCAACAATTATCGAGGTCAACTTGCAGAGATCGTCCAAAATAATAACCATATTGTTCCAGACTCTGATAAGAATGACTAAGGACAAATCAAGCAGGTAACATGAAGCAGTGTGGCAATATGAAGCGATCAAAGTAAACCATTCGAAGCAAACCTGAGCAAAACTGCTCGATGCCTCAAAGATCTTAGAGATTAACCATCGGAGATTCTCCAAAACATTACAAGTGTTCTCCCAGTATTTAATGCTAGTCAATGTCTGAACGATCATCAAGGTGAACTTGCGGAGATTGTCCAAAATAACAACCATATTGTCCCAGACTCTGACAAGAACGACTGAGAACAACTCAAGCAGGTAACATGAAGCAGTATGGCAATGTGAAGCGAGAAAACGTATCCATTCCAAGCAACCGTGGGCAAACCTGATCGATGCCTCAAAGATCGTAGAGATTAACCATCGGAGACTCTCCAGTATAGCACAAGTATTCTCCCAGTATCCAATGCCAGTCAATGTCTCAACGATCATCGAGGTGAACTTACGGAGATTGTCTAAAATAACAACCATATTGTCCCAGACTCTGATAAGAACGAATAAGAGCCACTCAAGTAAGTAAGATGAAACAGTGTGGCAATATGAAGCGAGCAAAGCAATACATTTCAAGCAAACGTGGGCAACGTTCTCCAGTGCCTCAAAGATCTTCGCGATAAACCAGTAGATATTCTGTATCATGGCACAAATATTCTCCCAGTATCTAATACTGGCCAATGTCTCAAAGATCATCAAGATGAACATGCGGAGATCGCTCAAAATAACAACCGTATTCTCCCAGACTGTGACAAGAACTACTGAAAATGATTCAAGCAGGCAACATGAAACAGTCAAGCAATATGACGCGAGCAAGGCTATCCATTCTGAGAAACTTTGGGCGATACTGGCCAGTGCCTCAAAGCTCATCGAGACGAAGTTGCGGGGATTGTCCATCATAGCCGTATTCTTTGAGTGCCTCGAAGGATAGACGCTCGCATATGTAAAAGTAAAAGTAAACAAAATGACAAAAGTTGTTATAGCCGTCATTTTTGCGTTACAACGTTTGCTCTGACGACACATTGTTTGTAGAATGATCCTGGCTTGCCATGGGAATCGTGTATCTTCTAAGTATTCGTTTTCCGTTGGGAAAGGCGCTTAGTAGTCTTGCAACAGCTACGGAGTTAACTCGTTGAACATATTTTTGAAATAATATTCACTGCGCAGATAAAAATCTGCATGAATAAATGTCTTTTGTTGTCTTCAGATCGATCTTAGAGAACAATGTCGTTTTCTCAGAATTCTAGCCTTCATTTGCATAAAATGTTTAGTTTCAAAACGCGGCAGCTGATTTCCGGAGGGTTTTCAATATTTTCTTCGGTGGAAGCAGATTTTTTTGAGCCCCTTTATTTTTTACGACTTTCTTTCAACAAAACAAAAAATTGAAAGAGCAGTACTGACTCCGTTTGCGGTCCTCAGCGAAGCGATTCTTGCGATCTCGGTTTTCAATTGCAATTTAATTCGGAATTCACGAGTGAAGTAATGGATTTTCCTTGAATCGCATAACTGAATAAAAATGAGAAAAGAAAGAAAACAGCATTACTTAAAATTGTTATGTTTACGTAGATGCGAAACAATATCATTTAGCCTCGGTTTCAACCCGCAATTCCACGCTAAATACCTCGCTTCGTTAACCAATCAGAATGGGACATTTTATTCAGTGATGCAATTCTATTTGAAATTTGTGAACCTCGAACGAAAATTTTGTGACCTCCAACGGTCTGTTGATCAAGGATAAAGTTTAGTTAAACGTTTCTGCGTAGACTCGGTGAACATATTTTTGAAATAATGTTCACTGCGCAGATAAAAATCTGCATAATTAAATGTCTTTTTTCCACTATTGCTCAAATAGTGCTTTACTGCGAAGGATCGTTCTTATATACGTCTCATAACCGCAGTTCACTCATATGTTTCATATGTTTGTTGTTGTTAAATGTCTTTTGTTGTTTTCAGATCGATCTTAGAATTGAGAACAATTCTAAGATTTGTCGTTTTCCAGAATTCTAGCCTTCATTTGCATAAAATTTTTAGTTTCAAAACGCGATAGATGATTTTCGGAGGGTTTTCAATGTTTCTTAAATGGAAACAGATTTTTTTGAGCCCCTTTATTTTTTCGGCTTTATTTCAACAAAATAAAAATTGAAAGGGCAGGACTGACTGATAAAACATGCTCGTAGCCGCGTTGAAATGTGTGACCCCTCACATAAGAAATGAAATACGCGCTAAAAAAGTTTTAGTCAGGCGACCGGCTAAAGGTTTACCATCGGGTTTCTCTACAAAATCGTCACGTGTAATGGGAAATACCGCAGACACGTAATGATAAAGTCGCAACCTTTTTTTCCACGATTTCAAAGATGGCGGATATGTCGAATGGGTTAATAATTTGTGTCATCTTTTCTACGCTCAAACATACAGACCCACACACCGTTCGCGGTAGACCCACTCTAAATGATGGCGCGTGTAATGAGCGTATATTTCGAACCGGTCGTTCCGTGAACTCAACATAGTTAAAGAACCAAATGATTTAGCGAAGGTCCCCTTACCAAACTGAGTGCTATGGGACATATATGGCCCCTACATGGTTCTGATATGGGAAAATCTATGGGCCATATATGGATTTCATATGGTTTTGATATGAGACACTACACACCACATTGAACCCATATGTTGCCAAATACTGCCTCTCTATTGTCTTTTCTATGGGAAAGACATGGGCAATGGGAATGGTTCAATCAAATAATGTTTTTCTGTATCATACTCATCTTTAATGTTTCATCATGTATTATTTTCTCATATTTTTGTTGTTTAGTCCCTGCATCTGCTACAGCAAGTCCTGCTGACTCCCCACAAACCAACAACTATCCATCTTCTCAAGGTGCTTAAGCCATGTTTACATTGTTGTTATACCATCAAATAAAATTTTTTTGTATCAATATTTGTGGTATTATTGTTTTCTGATATATTCTGATGGTCTGATTTCTTTCATATCTAGTTCTGGCACTTGCCATAGCAAGCCATCCTGACTCTCCACCAACTCTCCAATCCACCAACTGTCCTTCATCTCAAGGTGCTTAATAAAATCTTTACTTAATATTTCAGATCTGTTTTCCTCACTATTGTCCACTCAATCCATGCATTCTTCTCTGATGTACCAACCATAGCCAGCCATCCTGATACTCAGTTGGCTGTCAACTGCACTCCATCTCAAGATGCTTAACAGCCATGTTTGCTTTGTTATCACGTGGTCCAATAATATATATTTTTTGTATTTCTCATTGTTCTATCTTGTGAAGATCTCCTCATTGAAGTCATTAAATTGTGACCTCCTCCTATCAAAGACATGGTTGACCACCCCCACATCTTTTTTGTTTCTTTTTTGGGATGCAAATGGAATGCAAGACTTGTTTCATATGTAGCTATGCAATAAGAGCTGCTAAATAAGCTATAGTTTAGGGGTACACCTATTATTAATTGTAGAATTTTGACATTTTTTAAGTCGTCTATTTTTGCATTTTAAAGTAATTTCGCTCAAAATGTCCACCCTCTTCATAGCTGCTGATGTCAGTTCTTAAATAAGCTGATCACTGGCTTTTAAATGGTATATTGTACACAGGCAGAGTGTCTCTATTTGCCGATTTAGGAAAATCTTCCGTTTGCCTTGGGGGGTAAAGGGTTAATTAACTAAGTAGCTAATCTCATTAGCAAATAGATAATTATACGTCTACAAATAATTCGTTTGAATAATTCTATAAATTCTAGCATTAAGGGGTTGCTCTATGTGAGAAATGGGGGGAAGTACAAACTATCGTGGCAATTAGAGAAGCTCTAGCATGAGTTAATATTCTTAAAAAAGACGGTGGGTCATGACAGTACATTATTTCTCTCCATCTCTGCARAGGAGCAGTTGTTTCAGTTGGCTTTACGCTTCATGCTTATACTTTGTTGACTTCAAGCCTATTCTCCAACGACTCTGCCTCCTGATTTTCTGTCACAGCATGGTAATCGGAAACTTTTACACATTCCCATCATTTCTTATCATGTCTTTACAGGAATTGATGTAGTTCTCTACAATGTGGAGGGGCAAGCGGTTGCCGTAGGTTACATGGAGTGTGAACGTCAGTTTCTTCATGGGAAGTGTATACCATCCGGGTATAAGGTGGTCCGTTTAACATGGGTGAAGTCGTCTGATATTCCTGCTCCACTTGTGCTAGGAGATCCTGATGAGAATTTCTTCTTGTCATCTGGACAGTTTTTTGCCCTTCCTATTGCCAGTTTAAAGCTTGTAAAACTAGTGAGATAATAATCTTCTCTTAAAAAAAATAGAACATGGCAGCTGTTGGCCTTAGTCTGAGAACGTTTTGAAGAGAATATGAAAGTAATCTATTAACGCTCATGTTTTTCTCATGTTCACATTAACTTGATCAACTTTTAGCCTCTTCAAGAAGCAGAATCAGAAGATAGGGGTGCGCTTATTGCTCATTCTTTAAAATTAATTAATTGACACAACAATAAAGAATTTTCTGTTAAGCTTTTGTTTTGCAAACACAGGAAAACTTGGTGTGCAAGAACAGTTGTAAATATCGTGCCCACAACTTCTGTACATGTCGTAGATCCATTAGATTGAAATGTCGTTTTTTCATTCGAATTATTTACCAGTAGGATAGTCTTTCAAACCACGTTAGAGTAGCTAATGATAGAGCTATTTTTTTTAAACTAATGTTAGAAGTTTTCTTGGAACATAATTTGATTTGTAAGTTTCTCTAGAGTTTTGCCTTTTCGATTCTTTTTTCTTTCTCTTATACTTGTTATAACTTACGTACTTTTAAATGGTATATTGTACACAGGCAGAGTGTCTCTATTTGCCGATTTAGGGAAATCTTCCGTTTGCCTTGGGGGTAAAGGGTAAGTAGCTAATCTCATTAGCAAATAGGTAATTATACGTCTACAAATAATTCGTTTGAATAATTTTATAAATTCTAGTATTAAGGGGTTACTCTATGTGAGAAATGGGGGGAAGTACAAACTATTGTGGCAATTAGAGAAGCTCTAGCATGAGTTAATATTCTTAAAAAAGACGGTGGGTCATGACAGTACATTATTTCTCTCCATCTCTGCAAAGGAGCAGTTGTTTCAGTTGGCTTTACGCGTCATGCTTATACTTTGTTGACTTCAAGCCTATTCTCCAACGACTCTGCCTCCTGATTTTCTGTCACAGCATGGTAATAGGAAACTTTTACACATTCCCATCATTTCTTATCATGTCTTTACAGGAATTGATGTAGTTCTCTACAATGTGGAGGGGCAAGCGGTTGCCGTAGGTTACATGGAGTGTGAACGTCAGTTTCTTCATGGGAAGTGTATACCATCCGGGTATAAGGTGGTCCGTTTAACATGGGTGAAGTCGTCTGATATTCCTGCTCCACTTGTGCTAGGAGATCCTGATGAGAATTTCTTCTTGTCATCTGGACAGTTTTTTGCCCTTCCTATTGCCAGTTTAAAGCTTGTAAAACTAGTGAGATAATAATCTTCTCTTAAAAAAAATAGAACATGGCAGCTGTTGGCCTTAGTCTGAGAATGTTTTGAAGAGAATATGAAAGTAATCTATTAACGCTCATGTTTTTCTCATGTTCACATTAACTTGATCAACTTTTAGCCTCTTCAAGAAGCAGAATCAGAAGATAGGGGTGCGCTTATTGCTCATTCTTTAAAATTAATTAATTGACACAACAATAAAGAATTTCTGTTAAGCTTTTGTTTTGCAAACACAGGAAAACTTGGTGTGCAAGAACAGTTATAAATATCGTGCCCACAACTTCTGTTCATGTCGTAGATCCATTAGATTGAAATGTAGTTTTTTTTGTTCGAATTATTTACCAGTAGGATAGTCTTTCAAACCACGTTAGAGTGGCTGATCATACAGCTATTTTTGTTAAAGGAATGTTAGAAGTTTTCTTGGAACATAATTTGATTTGTAAGTTTCTCTAGAGTTTTGCCTTTTCGAATCTTTTTTTTTTTTTGCTCTTATACTTGTTATAACTTACGTTTTTACTCATGGCCGTTTCCTTAGTACGGCGCCGCGGTGCTTGTGGCCTACCATCTCTTGGTCTGTAATTTTAAGTTTATTTGGAGTACGATTAATAAACATCGTAACACCGGTATCAGACCAGTTAGTTTTTGTGCACGCCAATTGGACGAAGCTCATGAAGAGGTAAAATATCAGACGGCGGCTATCTCACAGTATAACGCAAACGACTCTTTTTGCGTTTGCACATCATGCACAAAAACAACATAACGTGGTACGAAATCGGACGACGGGTATCAGGCATTAGTATCACCCAACTAGTGGACTAATGCAAATCCTGCTTTTTGATTGGTTACGCTACTAGGGGACTTTGAGTAATAGTAATCGAGTAGCGAAATTCGCCGGTTTCTCTTTCGTTTTTTCCCCCAAATAAACATTTATTCAACTTGCATTTGCTAACTTTATTATTACCTTTTCTGTTAGACTAGTTGGGTGATACTAAAACAATTAGACTCTGCGCCCTCAAGGGCCACGGGTAAATAAGTTAAGGAGCCTCGAAAGGGTTTTTCGTTGCTGTAGTGTTTGAGAAACAATGGAAGATTACAAAGAAGGATGATTAATGGTGTGGACAAACTATCCGTCTCCTTGCAACTCTATTGCTGAGCTATACTTTGAGGGTACTTATGACGTGATATCAGTTACCATGGCAACATACGCCCACTAAATTTCAGTTTTTGTAAATCATCTGAAAAACTGATTCATTGACCCTAAATACCTTAACTTTTGACACAGTATGGAAAGAGATTATCTGGTAGAATTAAGTATATTCAAAGACTGTGATTTTCTGTAAGCCATAGTATGGCTTACAGAAAATTCTACTACATAATTTTTCCTTAATCTGTTATATTTGAAGTGCCATCGTGAATGTTGCGTGCTTGCAAAAAATCAAGATAGGTTACTCAGGAAATTTTGAGCTCGAAACAAATGCTTTCCGCAGACTTTATTTCCGGTTCGTGCGATTTTAAGCAGCATTTAATTAACTTCCATTTTGCTTCTTTTGAGGGTGTGAACCCCGTTCAACCTGATATCCGGCGCTTGATTTTATAGAGTGCGAGACAAACTATCAAAGTCACCTTTTCAGCTCTACCTTTTTGATCAAATAATGATT